CGTTCAAAGTTAAAAATTGAAATTAGAACGTTCGAAAAAGCAGTGTTTTCACATTTCATTGATTTACTCTAAAAACTATAATAGATAGAATGAATCCAATATAGATGCATATGAAAGCTGAATGTTTGGGGAATCTAGCAAGTATATGATATATTACTGTGGTTTTAGCCGTTTGGCTGTAATTCGTGTTCAAAGTTTAAAAAATGCTCGAAAAAGCAGTGTTTTCACATTTCATTGATTTACTCGAAAACTATAATAGATAGAATGAATCCAATATATGCATATGAAAGCTGAATGTTTGGGGAATCCAGCAGGTATAGACACATTCCTGTGCTCTTATCCATATTGCTGTAATACGCGTTCTTTTTATGAAATGGAGGATGTTGGGGAGGCGCCAAATGATTACATACTTTTGAGGGAGGCGTAGTAACATCAAGTTTGGAAACCACTGTATTAACAGGCACACAATTAGGGACTTCTCTTCTCATCGTCATTAGTAATTTTGTTCGTTAAGCAAAATCCTAGTTATTCTAGGTTCCACTATATTTGTATTTTTTAAGAGATTTCCCTTTTTAATAGAAATTCAATTAAAAATATGTATGTGTTAATTACATATTTACTTTTAGTTTTCTAGTATAATTAATGACACTGCTCATAAAACGTATAAAGATAAAGTTTATCTAGGATTAGTATAGTATATGAAACAGCGCGCTAATGCAAACCAAATTAATTAGTAATAAACAACATGAACGGTCTTTGAAGAAACTCGATATAATCATCGGCCTTTGGGCAGTTGAAACGGAGGCAGAAAAAGGCTAAAACAGAATTGTTCCGGGCTTACCTGTAAAGGATAACAATACCAATATTCACTTCCAAGTTTGATACCAATCGAGGAATACAAATACAAATGTATTTGGGCAACTCATTTCTTCGTATCCAAAGAGTCTATCGTTTATCAATCATAACTGCTTTACTGCATTATAAATGAGACGATGTAATAAACATTCTGAAGATCGGAAAGGAGAAAAAGGATTTCGTCGTTTGCATCTTCAGGACGTAGAATTGTAGAAATAGAAATGTATAACCACATGCTGCTTCATCAAGAAGTGCTCAGTTTATAATAGACACTTGCGTACATAAATGCAATTTTGACGAGGCGGTGAAGGACATGGAGCTACAAATCGAAGGCGACGAATGATTTTTTAACAGAATTGTTAGTGCAATAAGCCCGTATTCTAGATAAACGTTATCATTCATTTTATTATCTCAGTATAATTTAGCATGTTATTGCATTACCGACATGAAACTATTGAAGTTGTCCGCTCTTTTCGCTGTGCTGATCGTTGCAACTCTAATTTACCTGTGGACTATTGATCTCCATCGAATTGATGAAATCATCGGCGATTCGCAGAGTCTCGATGAGGATGATCGCATCGAAAGTGAAGTGCCTTCGTTGCCCGCGAAATTCTGGGGCAAAAGCGAGAAGAAATGGATGAAAGCGTCGAGCAACTGCATGCTGTTCGGATCAGACCTGTCTCGCATCAAAATAAACAATCGCATCTGGCAAGTTTTCACGGAATCCGCAGGGAATTTTTACATTTACGGCGCGTACCTCGATGACAGAGAAGAACCAGCCAAGGTGCGTATTTTGGGGATGTTCGATGGAAGTGAACCGAGCGCGAATAAATCTTGCCAATTGTGGAATGAGGATGCATCTCCCACGATCGTGCCGGTAACTGAAATTCAATTAATCTGGAGGAAAGAATGGGCTTTCAATAATGGTCTTTACAATCCATATTTAATATCCTGCAACGTTCCTCCGTCATTCTCCATCCCGAAAGTTGTGTCTCTCGTTGAGGATACGTGCGATCGAGCGACGAACAACTTGAAGGTGATCTACAACAAAGAGAGCGGCAGGAAACAGTTCGGGGTTTGCGTTAAAGGTTTGGACTTCCCCGATCCCGATTTCTCTGTCAAGTTGATTGAGTGGATCGAGCTTTTGAGACTACTCGGTGCTGATAAAGTGTTCGTGTACAATCTTCACACTCATCCTGCTGTCTCCAAAGTTTTGAAATACTACGAGGCGATGGGAAGGGTCGAATCGACGGATCTAACTCTTCCTGGAACGTTGCCAAACACTCCGTGGCTCCAACATCTTTACCTGAGAAAAAATAAAAGCATGAAGCGTCTGAACGAGTTGATCACTTACAACGACTGCCTCTACAGAAACATGTATAAGTACGAGTACTTGGCTTTGCTGGACGTGGATGAGGTGATAATGCCTAAATTCGACAATAATTGGTTTGAACTGATTCAATACCTGCAAACGACATTGGAATTCAAAAACGTTTCTTCCTTCGCCTTTGCCAACATGTATTATTTCGATAATCTGCCTACCGACGAGGACGTTCCAAACTACATGTACTTTTTACGTCATACGCGAAGATCCAAAAATCCTTCTCCACTTGGAAGCAACATCAAGTGCTTCGTCTCAACGGATCGTGTGGTTGCCCTGCATAACCACTACCCCATAGCTTGTCTAGGAAAATGCAACAACTTAAACGTCGATCCAGAACTAGCTCAGCTTAATCACTATAGGAGCGACTGCGTGCACGAGAGCCCAGAAAAGTGCAAAGAATATAAGTTAAACGTGATTGAAGACAAAACCATAGTTAAATTCAGTAACAAATTAATCGAATCAGTGAAAAAGGCGTTAGCAAACTTTAAAAACATTAAATGACGCAATTAATAACAAATATTTGTATTTTATTTTTAAAATTTATAAACTTAAAAGATAAGGATTAAAGTATTTAGTTCAACTTAAGATAAGTCTAAATCTAAATCACTTGTATAATAAAAAAACAATTGATTTCTGAACAGTATTCGTTTTTATTCAAAAAAATTATTTACAATTTTGTAAAAAGAACGAAAAAAAAAACAAATATAAAAAAAAAGGACACTTAGTTTCGTTTTATTTCTAATTCGCATAAACCATCAAAGAACCAGTATATTTTGGCTTACTGTTAAATAAATACAATTTGATGAATAAATACTCAAATTCTTCAGCAAATCCGGAACGCTGAAACTGATTTATTATAAAAAAAAAATAATATTTGTTATTATTATAATATTTACATGACCATAGATGAAATAAATAATACAATAATACCTACGACTCGTAATATTACAAAAAAAAAAAGTGTTGTATATAGTTCAAAAATAATAATAATAATAATATATCAGTCTAAGAATACGTAATTAATTCTTACAGGATACACAGAAAATAATAATAATAATAATAGTTGGCCTAAGTCTAGTGTACAAACTAGGGGCAAAAATTTGAGAAAATAAATATTGTTAACAGAAATTCGAAGAAATAATACGGGGAACAAAAATTAACTCATTTTTTTTTCTCTTAATAAACTATTTACACCGTTGTGCTCGGATTTATTCTCAGGAAGAGACGCCGAATTCACAGGACATTATTTATATCACATACAAAAATTCTAAAACCACTTTTATTTTATTTTCTTTCTCTGTCTCGCTTAATATTTTTAACTCGCCTTTTGACGACATCTCATCTTAGTTGATGAGATTAAGGAGAAGGAATAGTTGAATTGACTGGATTAACGCCAGATATGATCACACAAGATAGCAAATTGAGCAAATTTCTTTACATTATTTTCTTTCTTTTTTGTTGTTGTTGATCGCTATAGAATGGTTGAAGAAACAACAATATTTTTAAATGTTATGTAAATCGTGTTGTGGGAATATCATCGTTTTCCCGTATCGGTGAAATAACCTAGAGTCCTCAGGGTTGTGGAAACCCTGTTCACGAGCGCGTCTTTGTACTTCCATATCGTCGTGTCCATAACACTGGTCTTCCTGTACTCCTCGCAGCTTTTCTTCAAAGTCTTCACGCAATCCGCTCTGTAGTGATGCAGCTGGGCGTCGTTGGTCTCTATTGGGTACGAGGTGCAGGAGCTTCCTAGACAGGAGAGTGGGAAGTGGTTGTGCAGAGTGAGCACCTTCTCGGTGTTGTGGAAGCACTTGACGTACTGCCCGGGTTTGGTGAAGTTCTTCGCACGGTATACGTGCTGCAGCATGTGCATGTACTTGGGGATCTCCTTGAACCATCCGTGATCGTGCAGAAGATCGTCGAGGAAGTACACGTTTCGTACGTTGTACGAAGCCCGTTCCTCTTTGTTGATCTTCAAAGCTTTTGGTAGAACGATATCCATCAATTCGGACCAAGAATTCACGTCTTTCGGCATTATCACCTCGTCGATATCGAGCAGCGCTATGTACTTGTACTCGTACATGTGCTTGTAGAAGCAGTCGTTGTAAGGGATCAGCTCATTCTGGCGCTTGTTGTTCGTCTTTTTCGTTAGGTACAGATGCTGAAACGCCGGAGCGTTCGGTTGTCCTCCGGCCAAACTGATGGGCGTCACATGCACTTTACCTTCTTGCTGATAATGCCTCAAGATTTTGCTGATGTTCGGATGCGTCTGCAACTCGTAAAAGAATACCTTATCGGCACCTAAGATATTGAGCAGCTCTATCCATTCCACCAGACGCACGGATAAATCCTCGTGCAAAAAGTCCAAGCCCTTGACGCATACGGCAAAGTCTTTTTTCTTCGCCGGTCGTTCATAAATCACGCGCAAATTGTTCGTGGAATTATCGCACTGCTTCTCCACGATAGAAATCGAAGCAGGAATTTTCTCTTTGTAGCCTTGCGGTAAAACGCAAGCAATCAAATAAGGCTGATAGATACCCTGCTTGTAGTTTCCCCATTTCTTGTACCAAATGTATTTATACTCAAAACTCTTCGTAATCACAGGTTCCTTCTTTCCTTCGAACCAAAACTGGCAATAGGTGACAACTGTGGGTTCGATCCTATCGATCATACCTAGTACTCGTACCGTCGGTCCCAATCGATTCTGTTGTCTCTTGTCGAGGTACGCTCCGAACAATTGGAAGGTTCCGTTCGACGTCCTCAGAGTTTGCCAATAGAGGTTGTTGAATTCCAGATCGAACATGCTGGGAAAACGGGCGCAAGTGCTGTTCAAACCCATCGGTTTGTTCTTGTGCTTGTTCCAGTAAACAATCGGAAGCGTGGGCATCCGATCTTGGATCTCTTGGACTAGCTTATCCTCGGATAGGCTTGGGCTCTTGTCGATGAAAGGATCTTGATCGATGCCCTCCGTGGTGGAATCGGCGTGCCGCGTCAGCGGATCGTGGCGCTTCTGCAGAAGCAGTCTGCTGTTCAGATGAGGCACATTCACGTCGATCGTCGTCCGAAGCTGGAACACTATCAGGATGATCAAGCTCCAAAGGACGGTAGCCGCGCAGACTTTCGTGATGAAACGACCGGAACATTTCCACGGACAAAACATCTTTGAATTACTGAAAAAAAAACATACAATTAGACAACATATTACAAACTGAATTATATCAATTAAAAGTTCGTCTAAACTAAACTAAATCTGTTAAAAACTGATGAACCAAAATGTAAATAATAAAGAAAACTCACAGTTCAATGAAACGAACTTCATAAACAATAGATACTTATTTGAATTGTATATATAATATATGATTATTAGATAAGTAAAGAAAGTTGTCATTGATCATTTTACTACACGTATGTTAGATAATTTAATAAAGTTTGTATTAGAAATACTTGAAAATCTTCCAAAAAAAAATTGTTATCAAATGTTTACGTAAGTTTTGAGTTAATGGTAAATATTGAAGTTTCAATGTGCATTTTAATGGAAATAAAACCGATTACATGCACTCTAATTTAAGTACTAATATTCGTGTTTTATTTCTGTTTGTATTACATTTATGAGCAGTATTAAATAATAATTTTTGGTGTGAAACGGCGGCGGCGACTGCTTTCGAAAAGGAAGCAATGAACTTGAAAACAAGCACGACGTGGCTAGCAATAATAATTATATTGCGCATACATCCGACGTTTTCGGTTCCCAGGATAGGACGACCTTAAGCAGCCGCAATTACTATATAATCGACGTGTAAGTGAATTTGGAAACTAGTTTCTTGCATCGACTAGTACACATTCCTGTATCCGTTTAAAGAACACATGAATTGTTCGTTCGTCTTCTCTATTTCTTTTTGTTTTGTTTTTTTTTTTCAGCCGCATCACGATCACAATTTTCCTTCTATTATCGTCGTCGTCATCTTGGAACGGTTTCAAAGAAGAAGGTCCATTGTGCGCAATCTACAATGTATAATAAATGCATCATCGAATGGAATGGTATTCAGGTCGTTCGGCTCGCTAAATTTATTGTCTTTTTACTTTGACCTTTCGCTCGCATCGCAACAGCAGCATCTTCAAGAAAGATACTCCTTTCACCCAGGTCCATCCATACAACTAGGAACTGGGAAGGCTTTAGAAATTCTACATAAAATAATGATTACAGCATCATCAAGTTAAATTGTTTATTCCTCCTCGTAACTAAACGACGATAAGTGACATTTGCGAACGGTGTCAAAATCTGCACATGTCGCGTACACCAGAAAAGGTCGCAAATTGCCTATTACTTCACTGCTACAATTGCGAAACGCCGTCTAACCATAAGTTAATTCGTCATTGACAGCTATGAAGGAAAGCTTGACATTTCATAGAGATGCTAACGCACCGTTTGCAGCGGTTAACCTTTCTGTTAAACCACACCAACTGGGACGTGTGCAAAACAAAAGCGCAAAATTCATGTTACGTAATGCGCAGACATGATCCACTTTTCGTCTGAGAAATCTTCCGCTCCATCGAGAATCCAATTATTAACATTTTGTTGTTGTTGTTGCCTATTTTAATTCGTGTCTAATTAAATGGGAACGTTTCCTTTGCATAACGAAGAACCTCTTTTCGCAACTAAAATGTTATAGAATATTTCCAGCGAAATTAATTACCGATGAGTCTCAGAATCGAAGTGATATGCATTCACAGAATGACGTACGTCAAATTTAATGAACGTCACTTTTGAAACGTCAACTTTCCGGGATATACAAGTCTGTAATTATTTATATAAAGGTGACGTGGCAACTCGATACTCTCCAGATTATTTTTTGTAAATAATCCTACAAAAATTGCCAATACAACAACTTCCTATAAATCCTAACTTATTGTTATCTAATTGACATTCATTCAATGAATGACATACGTCAAATTTAATGAACGTCACTTTTGAAACGTCAACTTTCTGGTATATGCAAGTCTGTAATTATTTATCAATTCAATAACTGCTTATAAATCGCAACAAAATGTCATAAAACACTTCTAGTAAATTAATTACAGATGAGTCTCGGAATCGAATAAATAATTTTCAATGACGTATGTCAAACTTCATTGACGTCACATTTGAAACGTCAAAATAATATTACATAAATTGTGAAACTTTCTACAAATCGTAACTAAATGTTACAGAATATTCTCAATTATAATTACAGATGAGTCTCATAATCGAAATAAACAATTTTCACTGACGTACGTCAAATTTCATTGACGTCACAATTGAAACGTCAAAAATAATTTTACATAAATTGTGAAGCTTTCTACAAATCGTAACTAAATGTTACAGAATATTCTCAATTATAATTACAGATGAGTCTCATAATAGAAATAAACAATTTTCACTGACGTACGTCAAATTTCATTGACGTCACAATTTTAAACGTCAAAAATAATTTTACATAAATTGTTAAACTTTCTACAAATCGTAACTAAATGTTACAGAATATTCTCAATTATAATTACAGATGAGTCTCAGAATCTAAATAAACAATTTTCAATGACGTATGTCAAACTTCATTGACGTCACATTTGAAACGTCAAAAGTAATTTTACATGAATTGTGAAACTTTCTACAAATCGTTACTAAATATTTACAGAATATTTTCAATTATAATTACAGATGAGTCTCAGAATCGAAATAAACAATTTTCAATGACGTATGTCAAACTTCATTGACGTGACATTTGAAACGTCTTCTTTCTTGAAAACTCAAGATATGATAGCCTGTAATTATATAAGTATATGAGGCAACTCGATTGTCTTGAATTTTTTTTTGTTTGAAATCTTCCGTAAGTTAGCAATAGACGTACAAATAACAACTTCCTACGATTAAGTCACCATGGCAACGCGTTTAATTGGCATCTGGCATCTGTCAAAATTAATTACTTGTCAGCGCATCCGTTCCATGGTAGACATTTCTCAATTGATTTAATTTAGTTAATTAAGCAAAGATCAATTAAAAACAAGCTACAGACGTTAATTCTTTAAATTACATTAATCCATTATTAATTATCAAATGGCCATTGAACTTCAATCACTAATGAACATAAAATAATAACACAAAAAAATCCAAATCGATTTTAAATTAGATTTATTAATCCGATCTGTAAACATAAATAAAATCCATAACTTTTCATTAATCTATCCAAAAAATAAAACTTAATTATTTATTTATAAAGAAAAATTGAACACATTGAGAATTCTTATATCATCAATTCACAAACTAAATAACTTAACGTTCGTTAGTATCAGTAAAGTAATGATAAAATTATACATTTTTCAAAATTCTTCAAACTAAAAAAAAAATGTTTTTGCATTACAAATATTACAATAACGTAAAAAAATATCATAAACTTCACTATTTACTATTACTATATACACATTAATTTCAATTTGTGGAAGAAACCGTGCGATAAGCGCAATTCAAACAACTTCAAACATTCGAGCAAATCGCGCTGCAATTGAAAAAAAAAAGGAATTTTTATGAAATTATTCATATTTGTAATCTTATGAATGTTACATTAAAGGAATTAATGGAATTACTTTAACATGAAATAAATTTTAAGCTTAGTTTTTATATTATTACTATATATCATACCAACATTGAAAATGTATTGTTTTTAATGATCAATATAGTATCAATTAATTGAAGGGATTACCGGAATTAACTGATAATAAAATAATAGATATGTTATTTTTTTTTAATACAAATGATTGTGGAATTTGCAGATTTCCTAGAACTTTATCAATCAAAGTCGTTTGTTTACGTCAATAAAAAAAGAAATGATTACGTAGCACTTAAAAAAATGCGATGGGTTTCTAAAATAGAGAAACAACAATAAATCGAATCATGGCACTTTCGTTTTTCTTCCGCACCGAAGAAGAAACACGGAGAGACTCATTAAGATTCAAATCTTCTTCCGAGATCTTCTCGCCTTCGGAATTACATCAGCACGCTGTGAATTTATACGTGTGTGCATGTATATATTATACGTATAGTTTTTCCCACTTTCAAATTCTCTTCGTATCGGGAGTTTTAAGTGTAATTTATGGAAGCCGCTTTTGGCCGAAGAAGAAATTTATTTCAGGAGAACAAAAAAAAAGCCCACGTAATAATGATTCATTTGACCATCTTCCGTTTTAATTTTGAAAGTAATTCTCTTTCAAATGATTAATTGCTAAAAAGTTGTATGTCTTTGGTGTATGAAAGAGTTGTTTTAAGCATGTAGACTTTTCGTTTTTAGTTGGAGTAACGATTGTAAAATTATACGTCTCGTCACGTCGTCTCTTCAATGCAACAGGCATCGCCTTGAAACGCTTTTGCTGTTGAGCAAAGTACATTAATTTCGTACAATGCGAAATGAATATAATTCGAATTGGACGCAAGAAACCAAGGTGCATGCATACTCGAAGAGAAGAACCCAGGTTGTGCAAACGTTGATTACATGCATTCCGAGATCCCATAATGAATGCAGCCCGAACAAATGGTGAAGCATTAACCAAGAGAGTTTACTTAATTACGACAATTATAAAAGCCCCTATATAATTAACATTTCTTTCAAATTGAAAAGAAAATAAACCAACCAACAATATATAAAGTACAAAAAAAAAAGAAATGATCTCAATTTGTTTCGACGAACTTAATAATGGTAATTTCGGTATTCCTCGAATCGAATCCTTTATTCCTCTCTTTGCGTTTGGAACGATCGTTATGTAATTTGTAAATTACGGTGTAATTCGGTTTCATATTTCTTTCTTTTTTTTTCTCTCGAATCAGCGGGAGGTTTAATAAGTGCAATCAGTGTTTGTTTTTCTTCCTTGGCTCTCTCGACTAATGAATCCTTATATAATAATGCCATCGGCTTTCCTCGTTCGATTTTCCATATTACATTGTATCCAGCTGAAATTCCTTGGGAGAGACAAATATTTTTTTTTTCGTTTCATCATCATTTTTCATCCTTGAAGACCGAAGAATTTATTTACGCCCTTCCTCAATCATATTGCATGTATTTCTAGCATACATTTCGCAATCGTAAAGTGCTTTATGTAATTTGCTTAATGCTATATGATAATATAAATTACACGTAATAATTTG